GCACGCTCACCTCGCATGCGTATGCGCACCACACTCTGAATTGATAGTTCATCTACAATCAATGAGCATTCTGAACTCCACCAATGATAGAATTGGGCCAAACTTCCCACACCGAACCCCCATGCCTTGAAGTGACCGCTGGAGTGAGCCTCCCTCCAGCTTTGCATGCTCACCTCGCAAGCGCATGCGCACCACACTCTGAATTGATAGTTCATCTACAATCAATGAGCATTCTGAACTCCACCAATGATAGAATTGGGCCAAACTTTCCACACCGAACCCCCATGCCTTGAAGTGACCGCTGGAGTGAGCCTCCCTCCAGCCTTGCACGCTCACCTCGCATGCGTATGCGCACCACACTCTGAGTTGATAGTTCATCTACAATCAATGAGCATTCTGAACTCCACCAATGATAGAATTGGGCCAAACTTCCCACACAGAACCCCCATGCCTTAAAGGCACTGCCGGAGCGAGCCTCCCTCCAGCCTTGCACGCTCACCTCGCATGCGCATGCGCATCACACTCTGAATTAATAGTTCATCTACAATCAATGAGCATTCTGAACTCCACCAATGATAGAATTGGGTCAAACTTCCCACACAGAACCTCCATGCCTTGAAGGGACCGCTGGAGCGAGTCTCCCTCCAGCCTTGCACGCTCACCTCGCATGCGCATGCGCACCACACTCTGAATTGATAGTTCATCTACAATCAATGAGCATTCTGAACTCCACCAATGATAGAATTGGGCCAAACTTCCCACACCGAACCCCCATGCCTTGAAGTGACCGCTGGAGTGAGCCTCCCTCCAGCTTTGCATGCTCACCTCACAAGCGCATGCGCACCACACTCTGAATTGATAGTTCATCTACAATCAATGAGCATTCTGAACTCCACCAATGATAGAATTGGGCCAAACTTTCCACACCGAACCCCCATGCCTTGAAGTGACCGCTGGAGTGAGCCTCCCTCCAGCCTTGCACGCTCACCTCGCATGCGTATGCGCACCACACTCTGAGTTGATAGTTCATCTACAATCAATGAGCATTCTGAACTCCACCAATGATAGAATTGGGCCAAACTTCCCACACCGAACCCCCATGCCTTGAAGTGACCGCTGGAGTGAGCCTCCCTCCAGCCTTGCACGCTCACCTCGCATGCGCATGCGCACCACACTCTGAATTGATAGTTCATCTACAATCAATGAGCATTCTGAACTCCACCAATGATAGAATTGGGCCAAACTTTCCACACCGAACCCCCATGCCTTGAAGTGACCGCTGGAGTGAGCCTCCCTCCAGCCTTGCACGCTCACCTCGCATGCGTATGCGCACCACACTCTGAGTTGATAGTTCATCTACAATCAATGAGCATTCTGAACTCCACCAATGATAGAATTGGGCCAAACTTCCCACACCGAACCCCCATGCCTTGAAGTGACCGCTGGAGTGAGCCTCCCTCCAGCTTTGCATGCTCACCTCACAAGCGCATGCGCACCACACTCTGAATTGATAGTTCATCTACAATCAATGAGCATTCTGAACTCCACCAATGATAGAATTGGGCCAAACTTTCCACACCGAACCCCCATGCCTTGAAGTGACCGCTGGAGTGAGCCTCCCTCCAGCCTTGCACGCTCACCTCGCATGCGTATGCGCACCACACTCTGAGTTGATAGTTCATCTACAATCAATGAGCATTCTGAACTCCACCAATGATAGAATTGGGCCAAACTTCCCACACAGAACCCCCATGCCTTAAAGGCACTGCCGGAGCGAGCCTCCCTCCAGCCTTGCACGCTCACCTCGCATGCGCATGCGCATCACACTCTGAATTAATAGTTCATCTACAATCAATGAGCATTCTGAACTCCACCAATGATAGAATTGGGTCAAACTTCCCACACAGAACCTCCATGCCTTGAAGGGACCGCTGGAGCGAGTCTCCCTCCAGCCTTGCACACTCACCTCGCATGCGCATGCGCACCACACTGCCATGTGCCGAGAACGCCTGCTCTCCCCTTCCCGCTTGAGTAATAACAGAATAAAATAATAAATAACTTTGACTCGAGTATAAGCCGAGAGGAGCTTTTTCAGCCTAAAAAAAGGGCTGAAAATTTTGGCTTATACTCGAGTATATATAGTATTTTTCAAGCTTATAAAGGTGGCGGAAAGGAGTGTATTTTTCAATAAATATTAAGATAATTTCTTTTCTTTTCTTTCCCAAAGGGAGATTCTCTTGTGTGCATAGCCATTTTAACTCATCTTTGGTCCAAAGAGCAGGTCACCAAAACTCAAAGTCTGTTTGTCCTCACGTGAGTCTGTCTTTTGTAGTTGTTTGCATACGGCCAAAAACAAAACAAACAAAAACAAACAAACACGCCCCAAATACTGAGGACAACTCCACAGGAAGCACTGCAACCCCATTCATGTGATGCTACGATGCATTGTTCATGATGACAGATCCTTCTGTCGCACAACACAGTAGCTCAACAGTTGCCTTCTGCCCCGCGAGGACAACTCTTCGAGCCCCTGTTATTCAAGTCAATGAAAACCATGACTCACAACCACAATGACTTCCTCCCCTCCATTCAGGCAACGAAGCTGAGGACATTTTCATGCCAAAGAGGTTCCGCAATCATTAAGTGTTCCTCAAGCAACGCTGAAGGATTCGTCAAAAGGACCACACAGGGGAAACGCCACCGTTTTCGTGGCTCTTTCGTCCCTGGAAGGCAAGGCTTCTCCAGCACGGCACTTGCTGAGTCTTTGAACCACAGGGAACACTGGTTACGACAAAGCCAAGCTTCCAGAGAACCACAACTATCAGATCTGCACTGTTCCAAATCTCCCAGAGCTCCAGGAAAAGCCATTTTGAAAAACAAGCCCTAGAAAAAGCAACTATAAAGCCCACAAAAGGTTGAGATATGTGGATGACACCTTCACCAGTTGGAGCCATGGAGAAGAAGAACTCAACCAGTTCCTGGACCACGTCAACCGCATCCACCCAAATATCCAATTCACCATGGAAATGGAAAATGAAGGAAAAGTGCAATTTCTAGATGTCCTAGTCATCTGCAAACCACATCAACAATTGAGCCAATTGACAGAAGACCTACACACATGGATAGATGCCTACATAAAAACTCCAACCGTCACCCAAGTCAACAAAGAAGCCCTGACAGACCGTGCAAAAAGAATATGTGAAATCCACCTCCTCCAAGGTGAACAGAACCACCTCTAGATATCCTACTCATCCTCAAACCCAATCAACAAGTGGGGCACACAGTTTGCATAAAAGCTACACACATGGATAGATGCCTACACAAAAACTCCAACCATCACCCAAGTCAACAAAGAAGTCCAATAAAAGCTCTGGCAGATCGTGCAAAAAAGATTCTGTGAAGCCCACCTCCTCCATGGTGAACTAAACTGCCTCTAGATGCCCTACTCATCCGCAAACCCAATCAACAATTGGGCCACAAAGTTGACAGAAAACCTACACACATGGATAGATGCCTACATAAAAACTCCAACCATCACCCAAGTAAAAAAAAATAAATACAATGAAAGCCCTGGCACACCGGGCAAAAAGAATCTGTGATGCCCACCTCCTCCAAGGTGAACTGAACTACCTCTAGATGTCCTACTCATCCACAAACCCGCAAACCCAATCAACAATTGGGCCACACAGTTGACAGAAAACCTACACACATGGATAGATGATATTTGGGAGTTGTAGTTACTGGGATTTATAGTTCACTTCTAATCAACGAGCTCTCTGAACTCACCAAAAATGGAGTTGAACCAAACTTGAGACACAGAGCTCCATGAGAAAATGCTGGAAAGATTTGGTGGGTATTGGCCTTGAGTTTGGGAGTTGTAGTTCACCTACATCCAGAGAGCACTGTGGACTCAAACAATGATGGATCTGGGATTTATAGTTTACCTACAATCAAAGAGCATTCTGAACCTCACCAGTGATGGAACTGAACCAAACTTGCCACACAGAACTCTCACGACCAACAGAAAATATTGGAAGGGTTTGGTGGTCATTGACTTTGAATTTGGGAGTTGTAGTTCACCTACATCCAGAGAGCACTGTGGACTCAAACAATGATGGATCTGGACCAAACTTGGCATGAATGTTGCATATACCCAAATATGAACACAGATGGAGTTTGGGGAAATAGACCTTGACATTTGGGAGTTGTAGTTACTGGGATTTATAGTTCACCTACAATCAAAGAGCATTCTGAACCCCACAAACGACAGAATTGGGGCAAACTTCCCACACAGAACCCCCATGACCAACAAAAAATACTTAAGGCCACCCAGTTCAACCAGGGCAAGAAAACATAATCAAAGCCCTCCTGACAGAGAGCCACCCAGCCATAGATATAGATAGATATATATAATCCATACACACACAGATATAGTATCATAGATGTGAAAGGGACTCCTAAAGAAGGCAATGATATGTTGCATGTTCCAGAGTAGGCAAACCAGACAATCTGCACATCAACACCGACAAAGAAACAGCAAGAATTACTGTTTACCCAACAAGCAGAAAGAAATTACATATATTCAAAACCAACATTTTCTGGGTTGTTGTAGGTTTTTTCGGGCTATATGGCCATGTTCTAGAGGCATTCTCTCCTGACGTTTCGCCTGCATCCTTATTTTCCAGATCACCAGACTGGGCCATAGTAACTCGTGGCAGGGGACGGCTGGTTTGCTATAAATACTACCCATCGCCATTTGATCAAGCCGCATGGATTGACAACACATTTCAATACAACGGCGCAATGCTTTGGAAATTGACCCGTTGGAAAACAACCGCTCCTTCCATGCGGAACTGTCCAAACAGGGAGAGTCAAAGACCCAACACAGGGTTAAACGCCGACCGCTTTGCGAGATCAAATGGAGGAATGCAGAACAGCAAAAATAAAAAAAGGAGGGAGAGAGAGAGAGAGCAAGTTACATAAAGTCCAGGGATACTCACGGTCTCCTTATTGGGAAGCAGCTCTTTTCGGATCCGGAAGAAGTTCTTTCCATACTGTCGGAGGCCTTTGATGAACCGTTTCTGCGTCAAAACAAAGAGAGATCCCTGAGTTGGGAGGAGAAAAGGACCTGTCTGACTAATCCAAGTTCCTACCCCAAGGGCCGTGGGGTAAGGTAAACAAGCAAAGGAAAGGGGGAAGGTATGTTTGCCCCCCCCCCCACATAATAGTAACCCTCAAAGGTTTCCAAGTCAATCGGAAAAGTTCGTTCTCTCGTTCCCATCCAAATAAAACCTCTCCCAGGAAAATCACATCGCTGTAGTGTTTACTTTCGTTTGAAACAACAACAACAATTAATGTTCAGCTTCAACATCCAGAGTCACCGGTGCCTTTCGTTCAAATTGTTGTAGTAGTTTTTTTTGTTTGAAACAACAACAACAACAATTCATGTTCAGCTTCAACATCCAGAGTCACCAGTGCTTTTCGTTCAAATTGTTGTAGTGTTTTTTTCTCTTGTTTGAAGCAATAACAATAACAACAAGAACAACAACCCATGTTCAGCTTCAACATCCTGAGTTGCCGGCACCTTTCGTTCAATTTGCTGTGGTGTTTTCTTTCGTTTGAAACAACAACAAGGAAACAACAACAACAACCCATGTTCGGCGTCAACATCCAGAGTCCCTGGCACATTTTGTTCAAATAGCTGTAGTGTTTTCTTTCGTTTGAAACAACAACAACAACAACAGTCCATGTTTAGCTTCAATATCCAGAGTTACCCGGGCCTTTCGTTCAAATTGTTGTAGTGTTTTCCTTCGTTTTAAACAATAACAATGACAACAAGAACAATAACAACAATCCATGTTCAGCTTCAACATCCAAAGTCACCAATACCTTTTGTTCAAATTGTTGTAGTGTTTTCTTTCGTTTGAGACAACAACAACAACAACAATCCATGTTCAGCTTCAACATCCAGAATTGCCAGCGCGTTTTATTCAAATTGCTGTAGTGTTTTCTTTTGTTTGGAACAACAACAAGAAAACAACAACAACAACCCATGTTCAGTTTCAACATCCAAAATGAAATTGTTGTACTGTTTTCATTTGTTTGAAACAACAACAACAACAACAATCTATGTTCAGCTTCAACATCCAGAGTCGCCAGCCCTTTTTGTTCAAATTGCTGTAATGTTGTTTTGATTGAAACAACAATAACAACAACCGTGTTCAGCTTCAACATCCAAACAGAAATTGTTGTAGTTTTCTTTCATTTGAAACAGTAACAACAACAACAACAACACATGTTTAGCTTCAACATCCAGAGTCGCTGGCCCCTTTCGTTCAAATTGCTGTAGTGTTTTCGTTCTTTTGAAACAACAACAACAGCAACAACAATCCATGTTCAGCTTCAACATCCAAACAGAAATTGTTGTAGTTTTCTTTCATTTGAAACAGTAACAACAACAGTAACAACAACAACCCATGTTCAGCTCCAACATCCAAATAGAAATTGTTGCAGTTTTCTTTCATTTGAAACAGTAACAACAACAACAACCCATGTTCAGCTTCAACATCCAAATAGAAATTGCTGTAGTTTTCCTTCATGTGAAACAGTAACAACAACAACCCATGTTCAGCTTCAACATCCAAATAGAAATTGTTGTAGTTTTCTTTCAATTGAAACAGTAACAACAACAACCCATGTTCAGCTTCAACATCCAAATAGAAATTGTTGTAGTTTTCCTTCATTTGAAACAGTAACAACAACAACCCATGTTCAGCTTCAACATCCAAATAGAAATTGTTGCAGTTTTCTTTCAATTGAAACAGTAACAACAACAACAACCCATGTTCAGCTTCAACATCCAAATAGAAATTGCTGTAGTTTTCCTTCATGTGAAACAGTAACAACAACAACCCATGTTCAGCTTCAACATCCAAATAGAAATTGTTGCAGTTTTCTTTCAATTGAAACAGTAACAACAACAACAACCCATGTTCAGCTTCAACATCCAAATAGAAATTGCTGTAGTTTTCCTTCATGTGAAACAGTAACAACAACAACCCATGTTCAGCTTCAACATCCAAATAGAAATTGTTGTAGTTTTCTTTCAATTGAAACAGTAACAACAACAACAACCCATGTTCAGCTTCAACATCCAAATAGAAATTGCTGTAGTTTTCCTTCATGTGAAACAGTAACAACAACAACCCATGTTCAGCTTCAACATCCAAATAGAAATTGTTGCAGTTTTCTTTCAATTGAAACAGTAACAACAACAACAACCCATGTTCAGCTTCAACATCCAAATAGAAATTGTTGTAGATTTCTTTCATTTGAAACAGTAACAACAACAACAACCCATGTTCAGCTTCAACATCCAAATAGAAATTGTTGTAAATAAATTTGAAACAGTAACAACAACAATCCATGTTCACGTTCAACATTCAGAGTCACCGGCACCTTTTGCTCACTTTGGCTAATGATCAGTTGCTTGACAACAACACCAAAACCACAACGCACACATAGCCAGCCCTTTCAAGACTTGGAGGAAATACTCCCTGCTCCTTGTAACACATACACATCCAAGTAAGGAACAGCAAAAGGGGGATAATTTTTCAAATCGGAGAGCCCAGGAAGTCCAAAAGAGGATTCCCCGGCAAAGGTTAAGGATGGATGATCTCTCCCAGGGAGAGCGGAGAGGGCGAAGGAGAAGAAGAAGTCCAACACAACAAACACAAGCCCAAAGCCCAGACAGAGAGAGGAAGCGAGCCATTCTCTCCCTGGGAAGGAAAGGGGGAATGGGAGAAGGAAGTCAGGCAAGAGGCCAAACCTGGGTCCCGTCTGCTGGGTCGCCTTCAGGTGGGGCGGTCCTGTGGCCGCTTCTTCCAGGGAGGACTACGAAGATAGGGAAGGGAGGAAGGAAGGGTGGAAGGGTGGAAGGGAGGAAAGAGGCAGCGGTGGAGGAGGAGGAGGAGGCAGCTTCACATGTGATCTGAGCTGGGCTGAGCTGAGCAGCAGCACAGAGAGAGAGAGAGAGAGAGGAGGAAGAGCCACTGGGCTCACCGCAAAAGATGGCCTGGATCGGCGAGGTAGGATTCACCGCAAGGCCATTTCAACACTAGGCGTTCGACACCGTGAATCGCAGCGCTCTCTGGGCACAGGGGCGGCTCAACCCATACGCAAAGTAAGCCGTTGCAGTATACTTCAGTTTGCCCAGGGGAGCTCTTCAGGCGCTCTTGGGGGAAAACAGACCTTGACATTAGGGCTGGGCGGTTTCGTTCGTTAATTTTGTAATTCGTTATTTTTTTTATAACAAAGCGATATTGAACCATTCAGGAGCAACTAAAAATCGAAACGAATTTTTAAAAAATTTTCGTAATCGTTTCGTAATCGTTTCGTAATTGTTTCGAAATTGTTTCGTTATTATTTCCGTATGTCTGGTGCAAGTTTTATAGTTGTTGTTTGTTTTATCAGTGATAAAAAAAATTATCACACCAACAGTCAACAACAGAGGGAGAGGGAAGCTTCAGAAGTTCCCCCTGTCCCATTTGGAGGGTTTTTTAGCGTATTGCGCAATCGCGTCCGCCATTAACGAATCGATTCGTTATTGTTTCGAAATTGTTTCGTAATTTCCGAAATTTCGTAAATATCGAACTTTTTTAAAGAAAAATTTCGGAATTCTTTTAAAAAACGAAACGCAAAAACCCCCTAAAAACGAATCGAGTTTAGAAACAAATTTTTCCGTGGTTGCCCAGCTCTACTTGACATATGTAAGTTGTAGTTACTGTATAGTTCACCTACAATCAAAGAGCATTCTGAACTCCACCAATGATGGAACTGAACCAAATATGGCACACAGAACTCCCAACAAAAAGAAAATCAGTGATTGGTTGGGGGGGGGAGATGGTAAAAAGGTAAAGGTAGTCCCCTGACATTAAGTCAAGTCATGTCTGACTCTGGGGTGTGGTGCTCATCTCCATTTCTAAGCCGAAGAGCCAGCGTTGTCCGTAGACACCTCCAAGGTCATGTGGCCGGCATGACTGCATGGAGCGCCGTTACCTTCCCACCGGAGTGGTACCTATTGATCTACTCACATTTGCATGTTTTCGAACTGCTAGGTTGGCAGAAGCTAGTGCTGACAGCGGAAGCTCACGCCGCTCCCCGGAATCGAACCTGCGACCTTTCGATCAACAAGCTCAGCAGCTCAGTGCTTTAACCCACTGCTCCACTGCGTCCCGGTGTTTGCTTACACTTAAAAATTACCTAGAGCCGCTTCTGCATTTGACACAGTGAATCGCAGCACTCTCTGGACCATCCTGCAAAAAATCGGGCGCCCTAACAAATTTGTGAAATTCTGCGGCTCCTCCATGATGGCAACAGTCTTGGACAGCAGTGGCTCCCAAAGTGACCCATTTAAGTTGGAATCAGGTGTCAAACAGGGATGGTGTGTTATTGTCCCAACCTTATTTTCCATCTCCATCTTGTTGATGGGAAGCTTCCCACCGGGGTGGAAAGCATCAATCAGACAGATGGCAAGCTATTTAACCTCAGCAGACTGAAAGCCAAAACCAAGGTTACAACATCTGTTATAGAACTCTAATACGCCGATGATAACGCAGTCTCTGTGCATTCAGAATATGCTGATGATAATTTTGTCTGTGTGCATTCAGAAGACCTACGGTCCAGTGTATCCGTCCGAACGTATCTCCCTCTACGTCCCACCCCGGAGTTTGAGATCATCTGGGGAGGCCCTGCTCTCGACCCCACCGCTATCACAAGTGAGGCTGGTGGGGACGAGGAGCAGGGCCTTCTCAGTGGTGGCCCCTCACCTGTGGAACTCACTCCCGGGGGAAATTAGGGCATCAACATCCCTCCTCTCCTTCAGGAGGAAAGTAAAGACGTGGTTGTGGGACCAGGCCTTTGGGCAATCTGACAACTAGATAAGGACAATCAGACGACTAGGACTGACAGGACTGACAAAGTGGAATTGGAAATTAGACTATGAGATGGCGAACACTGACCGTTAATGAGGAGTAATGGGTTTGTATTGGTTTTATTGGTTTTATTGTTGTAATGCAGGAAC